TTGACATAGATAAGTGATCTGTTGAAGAGCTCATATTTAAAAGGTTGTATTAAAATAATAATAATAATAATAATAATAATAATAATAATAATAATAATAATAATAATAATAATAATAATAATTAAAATATTAATAAAAAAATGAGGTAGGTAGTAGTCCTGACAATGAAAATGAGTTCTAAATGCAGCTAAATTTATTTATTATTACAAAACTGGGGTCAAACAGCAACGTAAATGGTAATACAAAAACAGGCGAGTGCCATGGCAGGTAGCAAAAAATCATTAAACAAGAAATCAAAACAAGAAACATGAGTATAGTATAACAGAAAACAATAACCAACAATGAAGGTGTATGAGTGAGGGGTTTATATAGTGTGTATTAGAGATGTGTGGATCAGCTGAAATGACACCTGAATCCGTGGCTTCATACTAATCATCCACCACCACCCGCCTGCACATATAGTTTTATCTGATAAATGTATCCTCACCTGACCTGCACCCAGTCATCACTTTAATAATTTAATTCTTTGTTTTAGGCATGATGATAGGTCACCATGGATATAAACAGCAGATTCAGTGAGCTTTTATCTGCACATCTCTGATAGTAAATAATAGCCTACGTTAATCGTAAACATTTCTAAATAAACATTTATTTATAAAAACAAAAGTCTGTCTTTAGAAAACATTTTCTTCATTTTTAAATAATTACAGAAAGTAAAAATAAGACATTTTAGCTTTTGCAGATACAGGAACAAGATAACAAAAGGGTGCCACTTCAGCCTAAACTGCAGCTACTGTATGTTGTGTTCACTTGGCCTTTTTTTTTTGCACTGTGCAAAAACAGAATAGCATCTACTGTGCCTAAGTTTGGGCGATTCCGCCTCGCCACCAAAACATGACCAGCTGCACTGAATGAGCGCTCACACCGCTTGTTGTAGGAATGAACAAGATTCTCATTGCAAGGTGTTGCAGTCGTGTAAATAAGCGACCTTGTTCCTTCCAGAACGATAGCAGATTTTTCTCTGATGACTCCTCTAAGTGAAACTTTGAACAGTAGGCTACTCTTGCACCTTTGGGCGTCTCATCTTCCCATTCTGCAAAGCCCACTCTCTGCTTTTTCGCTCGTCTATTGCCATGTCCCGCTACATCCACCCGCAATTAATCATAATGTATTTTTTTATTACCCAGCCTGCCCGACCAGCAGGTTATTCGCAGCGCCCGCAAATATAAGCGCCATCAACGCATCACTAGTGTGTATGTAATCCGACAGTGTTTATAATCTGCAGCTGTGTGTGTGTCAGTGTCCAGATTGGTAAACTGTCTCAACTGTGTGTGCAAAGCGTTATGGTATGTGTAGCCTAGATAAGTGGGAGAGGTGATATTTGGAGTGCCTTCGGTAAAACTTTATTATAACTACACACTATGAAATATTTATTAAGCATTAGCATCTAGTGAATTTATTATCTGTGAAGCATTAACGTTAGTATGCAGTTTATAACTGCAGACATAAATGCTGAATTCTTGACTTACAAACACATTTATAATGTGCTTAATAATTGTATTTTCATGCTTAGTTAATGATTTATTTTTCATTACTAAATTAAGTATTGCATTACTTAAAAACTAGTTATATAAGCATAGTTGGTTGTTCTTAAGATCAATCAGAATGAGTTTAGTAAATGATTAATAAACTATTGAAATTAACATTTATAATTCTTATTATTCAGGCACATACTAATAGTTAATTGGTATGTTAATAAATACTTTATTTACTCAACTTCATGCAGTTTTGTGACCTAATCTAAAGTGAGGACTAGTTATGCTTTATAAATATGAACCCATTATACAGTAAATGACAAATAAAGGCTTAGTTAAATTCTATACAGGAAAAAAGAACATAAACAACATTATTCATAGATATTGGTTTGAAGATACAAAAATGAAACTGTATGGAATAAAAAATAAATCTTTGCAACCTTATCTAAAATAAAATGACTGTACAGTTTAAACATTGCTTCTTATATTGTAAAATGATTATATTGTTGTTTTATCCAATTTCATGTCGTATTTTGACACTCCTGCTATTCAGCAATGTTTAAACTACAGTAATTTGACTTTTTAGATAATATTGCAAAGATGTAAAGTTCATTTGATACTGAGTCTTTAATTGTCATTTATAAGGGGTTTATGAAGCATAAATAGTCCTCACTTTAGAATAGGTCACAAAACTGCATGAAGTTGAGGTAATGAAGCATTTATTCACATATATAGTAACCATTACTATATGCCTGAAAAATAAGATATATGCATGGTAATTTGAATAGTTTATTAATCATTTACTAACTCATTCTGAATGATCTTAAAAAACAACCAACTACTCTTAAATACAAAAGGTTATTAAATAGTGGAATATTTAATTTAGTAATGAAAAATCAGCCATTTACAAAGTATGAAAGTACAATTATTAAACACAATAAATGTGGGTGTAATTCAAGAAAACAGCATTTGTAGCTGCAGTTATAAACTGCTTACTAACGTTTATTAATGTAGAGTTAATGCTTAACAGGTAATCAATTCACTAGATGCTAATGCTTAATAAATGATTTATAGTGTGCAGTTATTATAAAGTGTTACCGTGCCTTCTAGTGAGTTTATCACTTCAGCTGGAACTGGAACAAATAGTAAGCAGTAGATCTGACCAGATTTGATGGACAATATAAAACAATATGCTGTTGGTCCTATAAAACTTTTTTTATGCACTGCATAGGATTTGGTAACATTATAAGCTAAAAATTAATATAAAAATAAAAAATAAAATCAAAATTAGCTGGATGAAGTTTATTCAGATTAATTAGATAGTTACATTATATGTAGAACTGTTTACAGCTGAAGTCAGAATTATTAAACCCCTTGAATTATTAGCCCCCCTTTTTATTTTTCCCCCCAATTTCTGTTTAACGGAGAGAAGATTTTTTTTTCAACACATTTTTCAACATAATAGTTTTAATAACTCATTTCTAATAACTGATTTATTTTATCTTTGCATAATGACAGTAAATAATATTTGACTAGATATTTTTTCAAGACACTTCTATTCAGCTTAAAGTGACATTTAAAGGTTTAACTAGGTTAATTAGGTTAACTAGGCAGGTTAGAGTAATTAGGCAAGTTACTGTATAACAATGGTTTGTTCTGTAGACTATCGAAAATAATATATAGCTTAAAGAGGCCAATAATTTTGACCTTAAAATGTTTTTAAAAAATTTAACTGCTTTTATTTTATCCAAAATAAAACAAATAAGACTTTCTTCAGAAGAAAAAATACTATCAGACATACTGTGAAAATTTCCTTGTTAAACATAATTTGGGAAATATTAAAAAAAAAGAAAAACAAATTCAAAGGGTGGCTAATAATTCTGATTCCAACTGTATATTTACACACAAATATAATATAAAATAAAATAACTTAAATAAAATATAATTAACAGCTGATTGTTATTGTTATTATTATGATTAATATTGTTATTAATATGATTAATATGATATCCAGACCAGGAAATTGGCATGTTAGAATAATTTCTCACATATTATTTGACATAACGGCTGAATTACTTTAAAAAAAAATAAAAATAGAAAAAGGTTATTTTTAATTTCAATCATATATCACATTATTGCAGCTTTTACTGTGCTGAGATTTATGATTAATAAAAAATCTATACAGTGTATTTGCTATTTTGTCACTTTTAAATTTTACAGGTATTAAATATATTGTTGTGATAACACCTCTACATCAACATTACATAAGAATGGGGTTATTAAAGACCATTTCCATGTCAACAAATTCCAATAAAATCACTAAAACTGCACCACCTTGTGGAGGGTTTTTCATCAGAATCCTTTATTTCAGACCAAAGTTTGGTGTCAATAATTAGACCTATGGAAAAAATGCAATACTTATATAGTGCTTGGTTAGTAAAACACATTCATGATTTTTCAGGCCTGTTTATGACTGCACTGCACTTGAAGCAGATTATTCAGCAGACTACATCAGTTATTTTGACTGTAAAACAAGACAAAGTTGCAAAAAAAAATAAAAAATACAAATTACTTAATGCCACAACTTTATAAACACGAGAAAATGGTTAATTTGAGAAAAGGCAAATTACAGTTTTAAATACATTTGAGACCCATATGTGAAAAAAAAAACAATAAACACAATATTTACAGTAAATACAGACTATAAACAGTAAATACAGACAAACTACAGTATTGGTGTTTTTGAAATGTAATCCTTGAAATTATTATGGTGTAGTAATTATGTGGTTGATATGGTAATCCAACAACTATAAAACAAAAAACCCAATACTCAAGTTTTCTACAATTACTGTATTACTTTAATACACAACAGTATAATAAAAACAAAAGTATAATACAGTATTTATTACAGTTTATCAGTTCAATTTAGGTAACACTACAGTATAATGCAGCATTTATTAAGTGTTGTAAATACTATAATTCAGGGTATAATACACATTACATGCTGATTCACAAACAAGTATAAATTACTGCAGTGTTTTTTTCATGTGGGCTGTAGAAGCCCTGCAAAACCACACAATGCCTATTCAAAATGACTTTCCCACAGTTCAGTTTGTGCAAAAGAAAACGTTTACAGCTGCAAGACTCTAAACTTGCAGCATGAAAAATCATGTTTAAACAGTGCATGATCCGATTAGATCAACCGATGCATAATCGATCAAGCTTTATATACCATTTCAGCAAGTAAGGTCACGCACTTATATGTTTGCACATCGACTTGTCCTATATGCACAGGTTAGCGCCTGCGTAATCAAACTACCTTGCCCTACTTCTGGACGAGGATCCGTATATACCTGAGCGCATTCATCGCCCCCTCCCTCTCGAGCTCTCATTGCAGTAGGAGGGTCCATGTGCACACAATGACGTCGCTACGCAAGTCTGTCTGAGTCCTCGGCTGTTTTTATTAGTCTTCAGTTGGGCGCCTTCAACAATCTAGTAGCAATGTGCACGTAAACAGAAAAGTGTCGACAGGACGTTTCGCTCAAGTCGCTGTCGACTGTTGTGTGCGCGTACAGTGCGCTGTCGTTAAGGAGCTCGCGTCATGCGCGCGCCAGTTTGCGGTGCGTTCAGCTGTCACAACTGAAACTACATGCAAGCAGTCGCAACACTGGGAATACTTCTTAACACTACTTAACCTGTCATTTTTCTCCGTTTTGTGCATTGGATTACTAGTGGCGAGCAGTAGAGGTAACTGTCAAAATCGGATGTCGTAATTACGGTAAGATGTCTTAATATTATCATTATTATTTTTGTATTTTTTCACTGAAGAGCAAACCTATATGTATGAACTGCTAGTGTAAATGCAGAGGCGTTTAAAACTTGTCTAAAACTTGTGCGTAATTGTGCCAAGCGATGATTTAACTTGACAGGAGCCCCGTGCAACGCACATTCACTTTAAAGTGAGAAACAACACGAAACAAGTGTAACAATAATGTATCCATCCTTTGCATCCTATTGCTATAGTGCGTTTGACATTGGTGCTAGATAAATCTAGGCGGCTGACAGGATTTATGTAAGTGGATGCCACATCATTATTGCTATATGACGCTTTAACGTTAAATGACAGATTTGAGGTGGATATATCGAAGGTTAAGTTCTTCGCGGGATATTAATTTGTGTTATTACGCAGAACACCGTCCCGTCGTATTTACTCTGCGTGTGCTAGAAGTCAGGGAATCTTGTTGAGTGAAACTTTATTCACAGGCGCAGTGTTTAGCAGTGATGTTGCGAGCAGCGGGGGATTACTTTTTATTCTTGTCAAAATGCATGCACCCTCATTAAAGCATACTTGTTCACGTGACGTCATGCGATGTATAAAGTGCATCACAGCGATATTAGTCAGGAGTTCTTTTGCAAAAGAAACAACTGCGTCACACTCATCATTCTGGAGGTCGCTGTGCAATGCAGCATGAAATATCACGCATCCGGACTGGCGTGAAGTTTATGAAGTTTTTTTTACTGGTTGCGAATTGAGGAAAGTTCGTTATTCGGATGCTCTAAAAGAATGTCGCAGCAATTTTGTAGGAACAAAGCTTATAAATAGGAGACTGACAGAGCGACGGGACCAATCCGTGAGTGGCGTGATAACTCTTGGCGACAGAGTGTCTGCTTCTGTCCAATGGTTGTACGCTGAAGTACGGTATCGTGGGAAGAAAGACGATAGGGGAAAACACTCAAAACAAAAACAACGAACTACGTCAAATGTTTAAAGCAGCACTGTCATTAGCGATTGAGTTTGCTTGTAAAAGAGCGGAGCTTCGTGAGTAAACTGTATGTACAGTAGTTATTGACAATATTAACGGTGCAAGACTTCTTTACTGTACGTGAATGACAGTTTCAATTCACAGAGCCAGTCCACCCCAAATGCCCTTGTGTGGTCGGCTTTGCTTTTTCCTATTGGTGCTGTCAACAGGATGGGAAATTAACTTTTTTTTCCTTTTACGATTTTTACCAGTAACTTTGATTTTGTGAAAACCATTTATGTGTGTGTGTGTGTGTGCGTGTGTGTGTGTGTGTGTTCCAAAACAATTTATTGCATATTATTTATTACAAAAAATATAATGCATGCATTGAATTTTGACAGATTCCAGGTATACTCATTTGTAGCTTATTACTTATAGTTACTTATTATAGTACCTTATTATCATCTTTTTTACAATAATGCATTCAAAATATCACTGTCAGCTATTGTGTTTTTATTATTATTACTTGCCCAACCACTAAATGAATTGCATAAGGGAATTTTTCGTATGGTAAATACATTTGCCACAACAAACAATGACTGAAATAAGTACTTGTATTGCAGCTATCGTTGCCGTTTGAAGGACAGAATGTTTTACTTTCTTAGGAAAGCATACCAAATATTCGAAGATAATGAAAACAATCTTTGTAATATTCTAGAACATTCTTAAAAATAAAGGTTCTTTAACATTAATATAACTTTTTTCATTTCTTAATGTTGGAAAAGGGTTCTTGATACAGTTGAAATCAGAGTTATTAAATCCCTTTTGAATTTCTTTTTTTTTTTTTTTACCTTTTTTAAATATTTGCCAAATGATGTTTGACAGAGCAAGGATTTTTTCACAATTTGTCTGATAATATTTTTTCTTCTGGAGATAGTCTTATTTGTTTTATTTTGGCTAAAATAAAAGCAGTTTTTAAAAAAAAAGAAAAAAACAAAAGAAAAACATTTTAAGGTCAAAATCATTAGCCCCTTTAAGCTATATATTTTTTCGATAGTCTACAGAACAAACCATCATTATACAATAACATGCCTAATTACACTATCCTGCCTAGTTAACCTAATTAACCTAGTTAAGCCTTTAAATGTCACTTTAAGCTGTATAGAAGTGTCTTGAAATATATCTTGTCAAATATTATTTCCTGTCATCATGGCAAAGATAAAATAAATTAGTTAATAGAAATGAGTTAGTAAATAATTCAGAGGGTTTAATTATTCTGATTCAACTGTATATATTTTAAATGTTTTAACACATGGAAACAAATGGTTCTTTAAAGAAAATTTTACTGAGCATAAGGAACCCTAAATGATTCTTCATTGCATCCAGTGCAAAATGCAAAAATAATAATACAAATATTAATACAATCCAGAAATAAATAACCTAACAGGAAATGGCACACTCTATATTAGCCTGAACTATAAATGCAAAAGATTAACACCAGTAATGATGGTGCCTGTCAGTACACTGATGTGAACATTGTGAACAAGTGGTTAAAGGTCTCAAGTTCAAATATAGAGGAAGTATAAATATAGCACTGCATGTCTGTGTATGTATAGGTACAGTATGCATTCATGGATCATTTGTGGATACTCGTTTCATCTGTATGACATAATCATCCCCTCCACATTTTTGTCTTTTAGTAAAGAACTCTTTAATATTGCAGGCGGACAGTTAAAAGGGGTGTAAAATGAAGCACAGGGGGTTGCTCTGAAAAAGTTACCTGCTAGGTCATAATTAATATGCAATGAGAGGGCTGAGTAGATTCTGTGAAGCTTTGCATCTAATGCTGGTGGATACAGTGTCAGAATTTAGCACTGCTCAAAGCAAAAGTATTTTGATGGATTTACTCATTTATGGTATGGTGAAACCAAAGTGAAAATTTTTTTAATATATAAAAGTTTGGTTTAATAATTTAAGCAACTTTACATCTGATTATAGAAAAATCATGTTTATGTGGTAAAATTATGTATAATACAATGCTCCCATGTATGTAGTTTTTTTAAAGCCCAGCAAATCTTATGTATTTCTTTATAATAATATTATAATTATATAATACAGCTGTGGTGCATTTTCCAAAAAGAGACAAACCAGTAATCATTTTGTGTGTGATTTGGACTGACGATAAAACTAATGAGGTTTCTTTGTACTAATCAAAACATTGCCATTTGACAGTAGGGTCTAAATGTCTCTCATTTATTGGTCCATTAGGTTTATCAAATGACCCAGGTATGGAGACTAAAAGATACCAAAGTTGCTGCGAAGGGGCGAAAGCAGAAAACAAATGGGCACAGATGCCAAACACCGCGGACTATATCTGCTCTGCAGAAGAGAGTTTGACAAACAGTGATGTGCTCATGGATATTGTTAACTCGAGCAATACCCCTAATGTGCAATCTATCTGCAAGGACAACAACTTTAAGAATACAGAGGCAACAATGATTAGAGTTAACCAGAATCAACCATTACCTTTCCCCACCTTCAACAACTGCTTCAACAACCGCAAGTCAGAAACAGACTCAAAGGAACTTTCCAAAACAGTTGCAGAGTCAATGGGCTTGTACATGAATGCTGCCAGAGAGGCAGACTTTGGCTTTTCCCAACAAGGTGCTGCGGGAGGGCAGGGTAGCCCAGGGAAACTGTACCCTCTTTGTGGGAGAACAAATGAAGACAGCCAGGCCAAAACAAGTGGGAGCCCAAAGATGAAAGCTCCCCCTGCTTCATTCCCACCTGGGGCCCAACTACCCAATGGTGGACCTCAGGAGTGTGCTGTGGTCTCTGACTCAGTGCCCTCTGCTCTGGTCACTGCCCTTTCGTCCAGCACTGATGGGTCCTGTCCCATGTCTAGTCCTACCGGACACAACATGGTATCATCCACCACCAGCCCCACTTACTTTGACTCTGATTGTCCGACGCTAGATTCTGCGACCAGCAGCTTGACCCATTGTCAACACACCAGCCCCAACATTTGCAGCCCAGTAAAGTCCAGCATTGTGGGGTCACCTCCACTGCCTAGTCCCCTCAGTGTAATGAAGTCTCCGGTTTCCAGTCCTCATAGTATAGGCAGCGTGAGGTCACCGCTTTCCTGTAACACCAACATGAGGTCATCTGTCTCAAGCCCAACAACAAATGGAGGCAATACCTGTAATATTAAACCATCCATTTCCAGCCCGCCCACTGCTGGCAGCATGTCCATGTCCAGTCCCAGGAACTCATCCAGGGGTTTCTCAGTCTCCAGCCCACCCAGTGGATTGGGCCTAGTGCAAAATGATGTCAACAGCCCTGAGAGCCGAGAGCACGACTTCAAGGGATTCGAGTTCCCGAAGGTAGAGAATGTGGATGGGGAGATCTTTAACATCGGCTTGGATGCTATGGGAGTGGCTAAATATATCAAAAATGAACCTGGCACTGATTTCAGGAGTATGTGCCTAGGCAGCAGCAAGAGTGCCATGTCAAATTCACCTTTCGTAACTCACATTAAGACCGAGCCAAACAGAGAGGTGACTTGCTCGAACCTCCAGTTTGCTGAACCGCAGCACTCTCTGGGCTGCTTTCCTTCGACAGAGACCACATACTTGTCTTTGAGGGATAATATTGACGAATATAGTCTTTCTGGGATCTTGGGACCTCCTGTTTCGTCTCTGAATGGCAACTATGAACCTGGTGTGTTTCCTAACAATGGCCTGCCCAAGGGGATTAAACAGGAAACCAATGATGGCAGCTATTACCAAGAGAATAATAATGTGCCCACTTCGGCTATTGTTGGCGTTAATTCAGGTGGACATTCATTTCATTACCAGATTGGAGCGCAAGGAACAATGTCGTTTTCACGCCACAATTTGAGGGACCAGACAAACCCCTTGTTGAATCTAATTTCTCCAGTTACTGGATTAATGGAGACGTGGAAAACTCGCCCAGGCCTGTCACAGGGGCCCCTCACTGCTAGAGGGGACGGGTATCCAGGCGCAGTCTGCCTTACAGAAAACATGGAAAGGTAAGACAAAAGAAGGCCATTTTTATCAGTTTGCTGCAACAAAAGATTGAAGATAGTGTTTTTAAAAAGAACAGTGCTACTTTTTTTGTAAAACTGCCAAATAATCCTATCCTCAAAAAAAAACAAAAGTAAATTGTGTGAGAATTTAGCAAACTCTGAGACAATCTGCTAAAATTAGGCTAATCAATTGGATTTGTCTGGGAGCCTGCAGTCAATATAATTAACAGACAGACAAATAGCTTGCATTTGAAACATCCCTGCCTCCCAAATGGGGAGGACTTACCACTTTTGTGGTGCACTACACAAAAATTCTACACCAAAAATCGAAGCTGACCAGCATGTGATCTCAACCCAGCGTTCCAGGGCATGTGTTCCTACTAAGCCTCGCTAACAGGGAAGCAAAGTTTCCTTCTTATCAGCCTCTTTCTGTGACTTTGAACATAAACATAAGTTATTGTGTTGTTATCAGAAGGCCTTGAGAGGTCTTGTGCAATTAAATATATCTTGTTATTGAGTCCAGTCATTATGCACTAATGCCATACATAATTAATGCTGGGTCAAGTCCCTTTCTTTAAGAAACAAGGATAAACAAGTTATTTTTAACAAAATAAACAATGTGAGAGATTGACAAAGAAAGTTGAATGTTGAATCAATGATTTGAGTCAACAAGTTATTAGTTTTAAGACAATTCTTTAAAGGTCAATAAAAAAAGCAGATAAAGTTGGCTGTGTAGCACACTTCAGAGTGAAGTTGTGAGATTGTGACCTTGTCCAGTCTATTCCATATGAACACTCAATCAACTGCAGCAGCCTTAGGAAATACTCGCCAGTTAATGAAGTCATAAACGTTTGCTTACCAGACATTAAATTATCTGCTTGCATAATTTCTTTAACGAGCTTGCAAAGTGCAGGAAGCCCTAAACTGCTCTATAAAGCATATCCCATCTGACAGGCAAAACTTTTATAAGAGTCAGATGTTTGCTGAGCTAACTGAGTGATACATCGAACCCCCTTTTCAGAATGTGTTCATTTGATGCTATTCTGAGACAAGGCAATTACAGCTAGCCAAGCTCTAGCAGTATAGCTAATGATTTTCACCCCATCCCAGATGTCCTCCGAAACAGTCAGCCAAGCGCTCATTCAAAATAGCGTCGCCTTACCATGCTAATGATATCTGGAAATATGTAACGCTAAGTTGCCTAATGAGAGAATGTAAACATGTCTGCAGTTTTTTTTTTAGCAGCCTGACTTGCATATTTTTTGGATGTACTGTAGAGCTGTAGTCATAAGTTTGACTTCTGCATGTCATTTAAACAGGTCATTTTTTTTGAAAGTCTGTTTACTTAAGAGTGCAGATTCAAGCTGAGCTCACCACTGTAGCGCCATCTATTATAGAGTAGTCCCTTATGACTGGCTACTAGGCTGCAGTGAATTATTTAACTTTAAGATTTACATAGCATACTGTCTTAGTGCTATTTAATTGTTAATGCACGTGTAGAGTTTTTTAGTTCATATGATGAACTAAAACCTTTTTGCTGCATTTGAATTAAAGGTAATATCTTAATATAAAAATTTTTAACCATTGAATTCTAAAAATTAAGATTGTGCAAACAAATAAGAATATGATTATGATGTTTCTTATGGATTTAAATGAATGGTTCAATATAATGTTTTATCTGGTATAGATTTAAGTAGGCATGGGCTGGTATAAGATTCTGACGGTATGATAACCTTGGATAAAAATATCACGGTTTCACGGTATTGTGATCACTGCTCCAGAACATATTCTTTTTAAATGTCTGGGTAAAAAACAAAATCTTTTTCCCCTTTGAACACAATCTATTTTACTTTGAGAAACATTTGAAATATTTTGGGACAGTAAACATGTCAGGTTATGCCTAGATTTATGTAGTATTTTAATACTTGTTTTATCCAGTAAAAGGTCTGGTAAAATTTTCTTCTGATTCCAAATAAAAATATAATTTTTTTCTTCTCATAATATTGCAAAAATATTTTCAGTTGCTTTGATTAACAATTGGTAATATTTTACATACAAAGAGATTTTGAAAGTGTTTTTTTTTTTTTTTTAAGTCTGTGACTGTGTGAGTTTTAAAAGCATTCAGGCCTAAGAAATTGTACCATTTGTAACTTTGACAAATTAAGGATTTATTTGATTGGACTGTTTATAAAACAAAGCTTATGCTGTATTATTTTACATTCTATTTTATATTTGAATACAGTTTGACTCCTCTGAAAAAAAAAATGTTTCTTTCATTCGTATCTTTTTCTTTATTGATATTATTGACCCTTGTAGATTGTTACATTGTATGCACTCACTCTTATGCAGAACCACCCTAATTAAGCTAAAATGATCAATTCTTTACAAATAGTTAATCTGGTGAAATTGCATTCATATCACAATTTGTAATCGCAGAATTAAAAAAATATATATATTGCAATGTTAGACTTTTCCAATATCGTGCAGCCTATATATTTGGGTTGCATGATAATGAAAAAATATTTTGTTTTCCTGTGATATATATTGTGATATGTATATAATTGCAAAGCTTTTTTGGAAAAAAATACAATAATTTAGATTGTCTGTGGTGATCAAGTCTTTTTCTGTGCAGCACATCTGCATAAAACATAATAAATTACAAGCATAAATAAATATGACAAAGCAAAAATAAAAGTGAAAAATAAAATGCACGCTATGGAGTCTAACAGTTTTCAATCACAGAAATTGAACAATCAAGGTCGTCATTGTTTAAATAATTTTATACAGTAATATAAAAATAATATTTTTTGCTTTTCATATTTAATAAATAAAATAATCCTGTGGTGTGTGTAAAGCTGATACACAAATTGCGATATCGAACTCAAACGATATATTGTTCAGTCTATATATACAGTGTAAGTCAGAATTATTAGCCCCCCTTTTAACTTTTTTTCTTTTTTAAAGATTACCTAAACAATGTTTAACAGCAAGGGAATTTTCACAGTATGTCTGATAATATTTTTTTATTCTGAAGAAAGTCGTATTTGCTTTATTTCGTCTAGAATAAAAGCAGTTTTAAATTTTTCAAAAAACATTTTAGGGACAAAAATATTATCCCTTTTAAGCAAATTTTTTGATAGTCTACAGAACAAACCATTGTTATACAATAACTAGCCCAAATACCCTAACCTGCCTAGTTAACCTATTTAAGCCTTTTAATGTCACTTTAAGCTGAATAGAAGCATCTTGAAAAATATCTAGTCAAATGTTATTGACTGTCATCATGGCAAAGATAAAATAAATTAGTTATTAAAAATGAGTTATTAAAACTATTATGTTTAGAAATGTGTTGAAAAAAATCTGCTCTCTATTAAGCAGAAATTGGGGAAAAAATTAAAAGGGGCAAATAATTCGGGAGGCTAATAATACTGACTGCAGCTGTGTGTATTACATGAGTAGCAGTGCTATATGGCTGACATCAGAACAGGAGAAACTTGTCCGTTCACAAATGTCACTTTAAAGGTAGTATTTGAATGATTCTCTAGCGTAATGCCTAATGTGATGACATGTAATTTTTGCTCACATTTTAAGATTATAAGTCCGAACAGCATAAAATGCCATCAGTCTACTGAGATTTCCCAGTATTTCTCTGTTGCAATCAGGATATTATTACACTACAAGTTTCAGTGGTATAAATACAGCAATAAAAATAAAAAAAAGATAGAGATCGACTTTGAATGTCACTTACTGTACCTGATTTATATGATTTGATCACCTGTAGTTTGAAACTTACGCTCCCTCTGAGGACTTATTATGTGGTCTCTGTAGCATGCACAGTATATATATATATATATATATATATATATATATATATATATATATATATATATATATATATATATATATATACATATTTGTTTACGTTTAAAATTGTCAGCATCCTTTAATTCAGTGTTTTTGGGAACTTCTAGATCCTTTGATCAACTGTCACTCAATGTATACTGTCACTTTTGATCAAATGTATGCTCTAAAATGAATTAGACACATTAAAATGAATGAAAACAATTAGTTGATGTCCACAAAGTTTAAAACTATTTTTAAATTGTAATCATGTAAATTTACTGTATTCATTTTCACGTTTACCCCAAAATTGACAACTTTTACACTGAGTACAACAAAATTTCAACACCCTCCCTCCTCTCTCAATAGCTCCACGCTGTCACCGAGTTTAAATCAATAACCACCACACTGAACAAAAACCATGAGTGAGCGACAGAGGCGAGAGGCGCTGATCTAAAACCTCCCGTTTCCATTTGCAACTGAAAGGTTAATACTCAGGTTCAAAGGGGATGTCAGTCACGTTAGAGCAAAAAGCACTACAAATACAGATAACAAGGCACGAAAGTTACAATGATGCAGCAGTTTATTTTGAAGGCAACATATATAGTGGGAGTCGCATCGCTGCTGACAGGATCAAAGTCACCCTCATCCTAATGAGATCCAGCTTAGCCAGAATGTCAGAGTAGATGACAGTCAGAGGTGGGATGGCTTTCTGCCATGTCGGCCCCAGCTGGCCCTTAACATCATACATTACGCCTGGTCAGTCAATATCTCGGTGTGTTTCCTCTCTTTCTTTCTTTCTTTCTTTCTGTTGTACTTGTATTTTCTTTTTCTGGCTTTCCGTTTCATGTCGCCTACTTCATAAGCCATTAGGTTCATCACAGGAGCCCTAGCGCAGATCTTTGATGCACACATTAACTATGAGCCATTATTAAATCAATTACATGTAGGATCATTCTAAAAAAAGTCAACCAGAAAGGCTGAGAGAGAAGCATATGAGAAAAATGAGATGGAAAGATAAGCGGGGATGGGGGGAGAGCGAATGTTTGCTGCCTTCAAGCTGTGCGTGGTAGTGTAAGGGAAATTCTTCTTGCTTTTGTTTTATTATTTTTTTCTCTCCAACAATGTAAAAAAAGTACTGCAAAAGTGGAAACCTGCAGTGA